AGTTTATAATGCAGCATATTGCCCAGGCTTTGCACGGAGACAGACCTGGGTTCAAGTACGGACTGCCTCTTGTCAGATTCTGCTTTGTGTTCAAGTTATGTAAGCGCCTTAAGCTTCAGTTTTTTTCCCTCTGTAAGTTCAGGATGATCACACACCCTACTGCTGAGGGCTGTTGAGAGGATTCAGTGAGATAATGCTTTTAAAGCCCTCAGTGCATTGCCTGCTGCAACAGTAGGTATCAACATAGAGTAATCCCCGCTGTGGTTTTTGTTACTGTTATTATTTTATAAGACATCCAGCTGGTAACTTTACCACAAGCTGAAGAAGGGAGGGTTCAGAACGGAGGAGCAGTAATTTATGCTATTTGAAAAGCTGTCATTTATGGTTTGTATGTTGTTTTCACTCTATGCCTATTTTCCAGATTGTTTTCAGCACAGAAAAGCCCTCAGGAAACCTCAGAACCGTGTGTGTGTGTGTTTAGGTGATGGAGGAGCTGTGACGTGTCTTGTTCCATGTGCGCTTTAAAAATTTTTTTTTAATTGGAGTATATAATCAGTTACAATGTGTCAGTTTCTGGTGTACAGCACAGTGTCCCAGTCACGCATATACATACATATATTCCTTTTCATATTCTTTTTCATTAAAGGTTATGACAAGATATTGAATATAGTTCCCTGTGCTCTACAGAAGAAGTTTGTTTTTTTTTAAATCTATTTTTATATATAGTGGTTAACATTTGCAAGTTTCAAACTCCCAAATTTATCCCTTCCCACCCCTTCCCCTGGTAACCATAAGATTGTTGACTAGGATTTGGTAATCTTCTGCCTGCACTAATGGATTCTCCCAGCTGGCTTTTATCAGTGTCCCTTCCAGTGAGTGCCGATGTCCATTTCCAAGGGCTTTCTTTCCAGGTGTTTTGACTTTGTGTCACGTCCCTCGCAGTTGGGCTCTTTGGTGTTTGACTTGATGTAATGTGGAAGCTTTAGGGTGTCTCTTGTGCTGGTCTTCAGCCATTTATGACTCTGTGTAAATCACATTCTCTCTTGGAATCCTGTCTAGTTCTTACGTGAGCTAATATATTCGCAAAGTGTCTGAGGACTGCAGAGTTACTTTGGGGTGTTGATAGCAAAAAATCTCTTAGACAGTTTTAATATTCTGCTAGTTTGGCTGTTGGTGGGTGGTGATATCTTTGTATTACAGATACATGAAAAAATATACATATATCAATATAGATACATATGAATAGCATGTATATTCATCTATATAGTGTGCATACTGTGTATGTATATGTGTGTATATATCCGCATACACACCTGTATATAAACGCCCGTGTGTATATGTATATGCATATAAACATATATGTATATGCTTGTGGGGGTGTATTATATCTGCTTACTCCAGGGAGAATGGTCTTTTAAGATGAATATTGTAAGAGACATAAGAACTACTTTTAGCCAAAATTATTTTTTACCGTGGCAATAGCCGCTTTATTTGATACCTTTTTGTCCTACATTTTGGGAACAAATTAAAGGCGCTCAAGCATGTAAATGAGTGGTTTACACTTTTTGGCCTTACTTTCAGCTTCATCGTATGGCCTTATCTTGGTTTTATATGTCTAATTTAAAAACTGCCTTATCACTTCATGTTTTTATTTCTTTGTAAGCCATTTTTAATCATTTAATGAAGAAGAGGTGGGATATAAACAAAAATAAATGTTTTTAGAACGTGCCATCCAAGAAGATTGGGTCATTCAGACAAGATTACCTTATACAAGTAAGAGTTGGAATGGCTTTTTTTTCCCCCATGCAAGACTAGTATATATGATTTTAGGTGGCAGAGGGTTACATTATATCATTTTGAAGGGTTTCCAGAAAACAGGGAAATCAGAAGAGTGAATGCTCGACCGTCTAGTCTGTAATTCAGGAACGTGGCTACACACAGCTTAGCGGTCTTTGCTTTGTCAAACCCAAGATGGAATCAAATTTCCAGTTAAAGTTCCACAAAAAGGAGAAATTACAGGGTAATGAAAACTTTGGAATGAAAATGAAAATCTCCCGGAGGTGGGAGAAAGCTGAAGTTTGTTCGTAAGGGTTGTGTGGTCCCAGGAAGGCAGCTTCTGGAAGCTTCTAGAAGGCAGGTAGGTCACAGCACGTGCACCTTCTGGAACCTTCAGACAAACAGAGAGGCAGGGTGGGGGCTGAAAGGAGGCCCTGGGGGAGGGGTGGGATTCTGAGCACGTTCCGCCTGCGGCTTTTTCAGAGTGGTCTTAAAAAACTTCTTGCTTATTTGTTCATTTTTGTCCACTGCATCATGTGAATGGAGGGAAACCACTGAAGTCTTAGTTCCTTTAAAGTGTTAAATATGACGCTAGGAGAGGTGACTTACCCCAAATCAGGGCATTACACAGCCGCCTTTGTGCTGAAGCGACTGTGTCATCCTGAAGGCAGCTTTTCTGTTTCATTCTCCGAGTTGGGAACTGGGTTCTTCAATGACTGCATTCATTCTCTCGGGGATGACTCAGTGTTTGCTTTTCTCGCTGATGGCAGGCTTGCAGGACAGCATGCCCCTTCTTGTTGGGAGATTTGGCAAACGCAGAAATGCTGCTTTCTGTGCCTTCAGAATGTCTGAGCTTTATGGAGACCAGTTTTTTGAACTTCAGGTGTCTGTTTTGGTCGAGTCTGTTTTACACACCTGTTTAGTAATCTTGACGTTGGCAGCGTCTTTCTGATGCTTCCGTCGGAGTAAAAAGTGTTCTTTGAGAGGTATGTCATTTACCTCTATTGTTGTCAGTGGGTTTCTTGTTCCCCTAATCAACGTAGGGTTCCTTCTCAGGGATCTAGGTGGTGGCAAGGTGAAAAGCACTAAGGAACTTCCTAATAATTTCCTAGGAAGTAGGTAGGTAGATAGTGGTCAAATTTCAAGATTTTGAGCACTTCAGAGTCCTTTAAAAGCTGGAAGTGGATTTCTTTGGAGGTCTGCTTTCTCAGCAGATAAACATCAGAGTGCAAATTGCTGTTTACCTTCCTAAGATTAATGATACATTTCCAAAGAGTTTCTCATGTAAAGCGCCTGCTAATAGTGCTCAGAGTAACTGCATGTCTCCCTCCCACCCTGCCTCTGAGCCCTCCCACTCTGTCTCCAGATCCCCAAATGGCCATTTTGAGAAAGCCAGAATGCCTGGGGAGGGTAGAGAGAGCCTTTCTTTGGAAGTGGAGAAGCGGGTTCTTAACTCAGAGATTTTTGGAGTGCTCTTGTTGAAGGCTTTCCTGTTTCCACATGGATGTCTGCATTCTTGCAGTGCTTTGTTTTTTGAAAGGACGGTTTCCTGACTGGCTTCTGGCCTTGCGTTAAGTTTCCAAGGACCCTGTTTGTTCAAGGAGTATTTGGGAAGTCTTTTCTTGTCTATTATGTAGACACAGCCCGCTTCCAGTGAGCCCTGTGGCTTAGAGGATCATACAAGTCTCACTAATTAGAAAGAGGTGCAGTCTCTGCTATATGACAGTGTGTCTGCGTGCATGTGTGTGTGTGTGTGTGTGTGTGTGTAACACAATGCTTGTGAAGCTATAAGCTAGTGCTTACTTTGGTCTTTCATGTAGGATTCAATTTACTAACTAACCAACCTGCTTACCGACTCATCTGTAGGTACTACTGAGCGTCTGCAATGTCGATGCCCCTCTATGTCAGCAGAGGGGTAAGGTGCAAAAGTTTACTAATACCATGTGGTTCTTGCAGTCCTGGAAGTTGACCAGTTGGGAGAAACAAGATGTACCTGCACATTACACAGTGAATCTATAGGGCAAAGAAGGATGTGATTATTCCAAATGCCAGATTAATGGGCCCGGGCCCAGGCCCAGGAGTATAAGGAGTTCAGAGAACAGAGAGAAAAATGAGGGCTGGGGAGGTTAGGGAGGGCCCCATAGAGGAGGTGGGACCTGATCTCTGCCCACAGGATGAGTTAGGTTGTGGAATACAGCAGTGTCTGGAAAGGGCGCCTGCAGGGCGGTGGGGGCTGTGCCGTGGGAGTGACCGGGAAGCGGGCGTGAGCTCTTTGTGTCCGGGGAGAAATGCCGAGGAGATGCTAGTTGGGTTAGAAGGATCCCATTGAAGGAGTGGAGCTTAAATCAGTTAAATGGGGCAGATACTCCTATGTATTCTGATTACGAGGAAGTTGTAGAATTTGCTGAAAGTTTATACATTATGTTTTATTTTCCTTGTTCTGTTTGCTTTGGCCAAAAAGGGTGTCTCTCTTTTTTTAAAAACTGAAGTTTAGTTGATTTACAATGCTCTGTTAGTTTCCGGTATGCAGCATAGCGATTCATTACACACATATTTCATTATGGGGCTATTCCAAGATGTTGATATATTCACTGAATACTGATATATTCACTATCTTGTAATAGACACCCTATATAGCACAGGGGATATGTTGATATATTGTATCGATGCCCTGTGCTGTACAGTAGGACCTTGTTGTTTGTCTCTTTTATCATATGTAGTAGTCTTTATCTACAAATCCCAAACTCCCAATTTATTCCCCCACCCTTTTCCCCTTTGGTAACCATAAGTTTGTTTTCCATACCTGTGAGTCTGCTGCTGGTTTATAAATAAGTTCATTTGTGTCATTTTTTTAGATTCCACATATAAATGATATCATATGATATTTTGTCTTTCTCTGACTGACTTAGTATCATAACCTCCAGGTCCATCCATGTTCCTGCAAATGGCATGATTTCATTATTTTTTATGGCCGAGTAGTATTCCATGGTAGAAATATACCACATCTTCTTTATCCAGTCATCTGTCCATGGACACTCAGGTTGCTTCCGCAGAAGTTTCTGAGAGAAGTGAGCAATGTTAGAGGTTTGATGAAAATCTCTGTATTTCAGCACAGGTGTAGTGTTAGTGTTCAGTGCAGGAGTTGTTCTGTAAATAGACACACATGAATTTCACATTGAATCAGCAAGCTAGGGATATAATTAACACGGTGAATTTTTTCCTAGGCCGGACCTGATAGACATGAATACTGTTGCTGTTCAAAGCAACCTTGCAAATTTAGAGCACGCTTTTTACGTGGCCGAAAAAATCGGTGTCATAAGACTTCTGGATCCTGAAGGTGAGTGACCGTCTCGATTAGAGGGAGCCTGGCTTGAAAGTCTGATCTGCAGAAATTTGTCAGCATTTTGAAATAATTCATGTCGCTGCTTTCAGATGTTGACGTCTCCTCACCTGATGAAAAGTCAGTAATAACTTACGTGTCATCTCTCTATGACGCATTCCCCAAAGTCCCTGAGGGCGGAGAAGGCATCGGTGCAAATGTGAGTACTGATTTTTCCGCCCAGAAGCTGTTCACTCAGAAAAGACCGGTTGACTGAATTCTCTGATAGTGCTTGGTACAGGTTTTAAAATATCGCGTATTTTTTAAAGGATTTGGGTTATTACACTCTTCAATAAATGGATACCATGTGCATTTGAAGGGCGCCATTCCACTATTGCAATTGAAGTAGAACGCAAAAAAAGTCTTTGTGTTATCAGTATAGTAGGCTGTTCAGAATTGCATGTCATTTTATCTCCTTTTTAAAATTTAATTTTATTTATTTAAAAAATTATTTTGTTTTATTTTTTTAGGGGGAGGTAATTAGGTTTACTTATTTATTTTTAGATGAGGTACTGGGAATTAGGTTTACTTACATATTTTATTTTTAGAGGAGGTGTTGGGGATGCAACCCAGGACCGTGTTGCGCTAAGCATGCGCTCTACCACTTGAGCTGTACCCTCCCCCCTCACTTGAGAAGTAAAAACTATAACCGCTCCAGTAAGAGGGTTTCACTTGCCGCTGTTTTGCAGCTGCTCTGTTTGGTGTCCTTCTGTACGTGTAGAATATCTCACTTCTGAAGTCACTTTCAGGTTTATTACCTTAGGTGATCCCAGGAGATAATTGTTTTCTGATTAAAAGGTGAGGCTTGGAGGAAGGTGATTTGATTTGAACAAAGGAACAGAGCTACTTCGTGGCAGGGCAAAGTCTCTGACATGTAGCTTTGGGCTCTTTATTGGTCCCCAGGGTTTGTGCAGTTCATTGCAGCCATGTGTTTTGTGCCTGTGCGTTTCTGGAGGAAAACAGGACACGCTGTCGTGGGTCGTGTGTCTGGCGGGGAGCCCCCCTCACCCTGGCTGCCCCACGCCTCCTGCAGATACCTCCTTTATTCTGAATTGCCACTTTTGGGAGGGGGGCAGGCGGGATAATTAGGTTTGTTCATTTATTTTTAGAGGAGGTCCTTGTGCATGCTAAGCAGGCGCTCTACCACTGAGCTATACCCTCCCCTCCTCCAACCTGTTTCACTTAGAGGACCTAGGAGCTCCCCTCTCTGGTCTCCTGTTTCGCCTCTGTGTGCTGTCGTCGTAGGCATATTTCTATTCTCTCCTCTTGTTCTTTGTCCCGAAGGCTGTTCCCCGAGTGACGTGCTCCCTCGCTCCTCCTCCCCTCCAGTGTCTGCCAGTCATTCAGGGCTGAGCGTTGCTCCAGAAGGTTCTAGCGGCCAATCCTTGCTTGATCTCGCAGCGTCCGCCCAGTTCCTCACTCTCAGCCTTTCACGTAGAACAAGGGTGCGAGCTGTCATTCAGGGTTCTGTCTCCATTTGTTTTCCTCTTCCCGTCAATTCTGCACATTGTCACCAGGTTAGCCTGGACACGTTCCGGGCTGCACACGGCTGGCTGGATGGAATCTGCCGGGCCGTCCTGACATCCACAGCTCGGCACGTGTTAGTTACCTGTGTCTTACTGGTGACGTCCCAGCACAAACCGTTTGTGGTGTCCAGGGCGTTTCTGTTTCAGAGTCCTGACTCCCCTTAGGACCTCCCCCGTCTTTTATCTGCTGCTTCCTGCACCCACCAGCAGTTACTGGTCATGTTAGAACTGCTCAGGGTCCCCCTTTCCCAGGAAGCCTCGAGGGACCCTTCTGAGGCACAGTTTTGCTTGCTTGGTGCTTATTTCAATGCCACACATATACAAACTGCTTCAGTTACCTCAACGCTTGTTAAATGCTGCTTTTCTTTTTGCTTAACTGTCTATATTATGACTGTCTCTTGCCTCGTCATCTAGACAGTAACTCTGCTCAAAGGTATTATCTTCAAGTATTGTGTTCTTATTATAACACTTCGCACAGTGCTTTGAACAGGATATGCACTCATCAGATACTTAATTGAATATCACAAGTGACAATCTTTCAGTCCTCCATTTAAAAAAGAAAGTTTTCTTAATGAGGACTTGAATAACCCCGCCATACACATCTCCTGTAGCTTTCATCGCCATCTCATTTCCTACATACTGCATAACTCTTTGAGTCTCAGATTTAAGGTGGACTTGAGAAAGGCTGGCAGAGATGGAAACTACCCTGGCTTACACCGTGTATTGAGTGCCTGGGGGAAAAAACCAAAATTGATCACAGTGTTTTTCCTGCTACATTTCAGTGCAGCCTCAGAAGACTTCTCAGCCCGGTGCTTCTGGGCACCACGAGGCCTGGATAAGAACTGGCACTCATTAAGCCAGTCTTCGTGGTCAGATGTGGATAGCCTGCTTTTAAAGCTGTTTATGTGCAAAGTGTTGAAACTGGGTGGAAAGTAAGAAAACATCCAGCTGGTCCTGTCAGGCTTAAAGCGTGTCCATCCGCAGAATGACCTGTGACCCAGTCATGTGTGCTGTGAATGTTATTGTCTGCAGATGCGGACGATAACACATCTTCTCTGCCGTTTTCTTGTTCCAGGATGTGGAAGTCAAATGGATTGAGTACCAGAATATGGTGAACTACCTCGTCCAGTGGATCCGACACCACGTGACCGTGATGTCCGAGAGGACATTTCCTAATAATCCTGTAGAACTCAAGGTCTGTGTCCCTGTAGACGTCGAGAGGGAGGGGCTTATGGTGAAACTTGCAAATAATGCCAAACGGGTCCTCTCATTTCCAAAGTTCAACAAGCATTGCCCTTGACAAGCTACTGATCAGTAGATACGTTTAAAAAAACTTATTCAATTCCTATTATACAGAGAAAGTAGAAGTAAACCTGATTCTGTTTATTTACCTTAGATCTGAAAGAAATGTGTATAGTCCCTGAAGTTTGAGTTGTTGAGAGTTAAAGGTTTAATTTGAGAGGGTCTCTGGAAGTGACATTGCCAAGTTGTTTTTGGTGCACGGGAGCTGCCTGGAGCCGGCAGATGGCCCAGGCAGGAGGGGGTCGGAAGCCTGTCCCAGTACGGCCATGGCTGGGCGTGTGCCTGTGGTCGCATCCTGTTAAAAAAACTGCCCCAGAGGCTTCTGTTGTGTGGCAGGAGGTGCATATGATATTTCACCATGAATTCGAAAGTACAGACCTGACTCGCAGTGTCAATGAGCTCATGGTTTGGTAAACATGTACTCCTGCCCGAGAACCTCAGTCCACCTCTCTGAGGCCAAGACATTAGAGAAACATTAAAAGACAGTACAGATATATAAACTTCCTGAAAATAAGTTGTCCCGTTTTGTATGTAGTTCGTCGTAGCGAAGTACTGTGCTTTCTTTCGAGACGTGGATAATGTGAATTATTGGGTCTACATTCCTTGAATGTAGACTTGGTTTTCCTGATCGGACTAGAATGACAGTTACAGACCTCACCCAGGATGGGCCCTGTTAAAGTCATTAATTGCGTCCATGTGTCTGTTCAGAACATCTGCGGAACAGCTTTTATTCCCGTTGCCGCAGGGAGTGTGTCCTTGGCACGCAGTTCCTTGGCGTGTGTTGATGTGCTGCTCTCTGAGTTCTCTGAATTGCTTGTGTGGCGTCTCCCTGTGCGGATGGGAGCTCCCTGGGCAGGAGCGCTTTCCTCCCTCCTCTGTCACCGCATAGACTGAGAACAGTGTTTAGACATAGGGGCATTCCACGCTTACTCACCGCTGGACATCCTGAAACGTTGCTGAGTTTAAAACAGTTTTTCAGATTTCAAGTTCCACTCACTTCCAGATGGATTCCTGTTGTCCAGACATTTGGGCAAATTCATGCTGGCTTCTGATTAATGCAGATTTCTAAGTAATTAAAGAAGTTGGAGTGACCACACAGATTCCTTGCTGGTGCCTAGAATAGAACGTGACGCAGGAAAAAAAAATATATCGAGGGGAAAGACCAAGTAATTTTGTTAGCCAGCAAAACTTTGAATGGAATCCTTCGGGGAAATCTGCCTGAAGATTTGCAGGGACTTGTTTTAAAGCAGCATGAATTGGTTTGCAATAATTAGTCTACATTCTAATTATTAAATGTGGTGACACTGTATCAACATAATTTTTATAAGGTACTCTTTTAAAATTGAAGCACAGTCAGTTACAATGTGTCAATCTCTGGTGTGCAACACAATTTCCCAGTCATGTATATGTATATAATACATATATTTGTTTTCATACTCTTTACCATTAAAGGTTATAAGAAGATATTGAATGTAGTTCAGTAAGGTCCTTTTAAATAAATATAATAAACATATTTAAGAGATTCCCAAGTTAATATCTATAAATTAGATAGTAATTTAATTATATGGTTTCAGCTTACATGATAGTAGCAACAACCAAGAGCATGTGTCTTCATTCACTACAGGAGCTGCTTAATTTGGCCAATGGGACATTAAAACCAAATTTTACTCCTATTTATCTGATAAGAATTCTGTTTTCAAGGATAGACCATGAAATAGAGGAGAATGTCCCCCACCCCCTATTATGGGAATTGCATCAGATTATTTTTCTAAAACCTAAAAGCTAAAGAAGTGCAGCATTTGGAAAGTGCATCTTCAAAAAAAAATTTTCTTTTTTAATGAAGGTACTGGGGATTGAACCCAGGACCTTGTGCATGCTAAGCACGTGCTCTACCCCTGAGCTATGCCTTCCCTACCAGCTTCCCTCACCCCGAAAATGCATCTTTTAAAGGATAAGTCTTCTTGTTTGGACGAAAAGAGTTTGATAGTGGAGCTGCAGGAGACACTGCTGTGGTTTTTACTATCCAGATCCTTGTGTGTCACGTGTTGAATCTGGGCTCACAGCAATAATCACACCCTTCTCAGACCTC